CGGCGGAGACAGGCAGCCTGTCCCAGAAGGGTAAGAGCGCCTGCCTCCAGGCAAACCCCCAGGGCACAGAACCAGCCCAGCAATGCCGTCTAGTGGTTAGAGCAGAGGGCATGGGGCGTCTGGCCTCCCAGGTTATGCTCCCAACTCGGGGAGAGGGGCACGGTCTCATGCGTAGCGCAAGGGAGTGGTGTCCGGATACCTGGCTTCCGCTTCTCGGGCCTGGGAGGGGCGTGTAGCTTGAGGACCAGGAGTAGGGACTCCTGGCTTCTCCTCCTCCTCTCTAGGCCCCCAACTTGCCCCAGGCCGTCAGGCACCCCTGCCTCAGTTTCCCCACCTGTAAGGCTGCTGCAGGAGGTGAGCTGCGCTTTGGACTCCGTGGCCATGGGATAGGAAAGTGTCTGATGCAGCCCCCTTAGCACCAGCCCTGCCCTGTCCCTCGCGGTCCTGCCTGTCCGCCGCGCGCTAACTGGCTTCTCCCCCTTCCCCCCCAGCCCGCAACGGCATCACCGCCGAGACCAATGGCCTTGCTGCTGGGTAAGTGTCCGCTCCCTGCGGGGCGTCCGCTCGTGGCCTGCTTGGCCCGCACTGGAGGGGGGAGGAATTTCTCCCAGGCAGGTGCTCAGCGGGACCCTGGCTGGGCTTCTGCCTCAGTCGCCCCGTTGGCGCGGCTGTCGTCCCGTCCCCCCCCCTTAGTGCTCTTCTGCTTAATCGCCTTCGGCGCCGTCCTGGTGTGGAAACACTGGCGCCTCAAGAACATCAACAGCATCAACTTCGACAACCCCGTCTATCAGAAGACCACGGAGGACGAGGTTCACATCTGTCGGAGCCAGGACGGGTACACGTACCCCTCGGTCGTCCCGTCCCCCCCCCTTAGTGCTCTTCTGCTTAATCGCCTTCGGCGCCGTCCTGGTGTGGAAACACTGGCGCCTCAAGAACATCAACAGCATCAACTTCGACAACCCCGTCTATCAGAAGACCACGGAGGACGAGGTTCACATCTGTCGGAGCCAGGACGGGTACACGTACCCCTCGGTAAGCCCGCCCGGCTCCCGCCAGCCTCCAGCTGCCAGCCTGGCCACATGCGC